CCGCGGAGGCCGGGGAGAGGGCCTTGAATGCTGATGTCAGCCACTGGCTGGTACCTGGGAAGGCAGGGGCATAAGAAAGAGCAGCCCCTCCTCCCCTCGCCCAAGCTCTAGTGCTGCAGGTAGGAGGAAGGAGCGCCCCGGATTCTCCAGGGCCTTCCTGGTTTGGCTCCCCCCACCCACCACCACAACCCCCGTTGCCCAATAATAACAAATAATGATAACAGCTACAGTGCGTGCCCTAGTTGCCCACTAAGTGTCTTACATATGCACTTTCACAGTTATTCCTCAGAACACCCCAGAGAGGCACTATTGCTTTGCTTTACAGGGCAGGAAAGAGGCACAGAGATGTTAGGTAACTTGCCTAAGAGCACACAGCTAATTCATCAAGTGCAGATGATGCCCCAAGCCCTGTGTTCAGTGTTCGACATTACATCATCCCATTCATTCTCGCAGTAGCTGGGTTTTCATTCCTATTTCACAGATGAAGAAAGTGAGGCCCAGAGATGCCAAGGTAAACAACTGGTCCAGAAACAGCAGATCATAATGCAGGACTGAGTTCCTTGCTGATCCCAGAGGAGGGGAGGAAGCAGAGGCCGAAGGCAGCCAGAGGGGGAGCTTCCAGGGAAAGGAGGCCAAGAAGTGGGACCGAGGGTGGAGCACTGCGCTGCTTTTCAAGTGACGCAGGTGATGTTCATGAGTCAAGAGTCTGAATCCACACAGAGCTGGTTCTTTGCCAGGCTCTTCAGGGCACTTGCGGTGTGACCTGTGGACAATGACTTTACCTCTCTGAACCCCAATTTTTTCATTTGAAAATTAGGGAAATACTCCTTGCCTCTTAGACATAACATACATAAAGTGATTAGATTAGGAGTGATAACAAATATCCAGTATTTACCCAAATCCTAAGTATGTCCTCTGAACATGTCTGATGTGCCATTAATGTTAGTATTTCCATCCTTCCCATCTGTCTGATTGGAGGGCTTTCCCCCACCTGCAAGCCTCCACCTCCTTCAGTGAGCCCACCCAGCTTGCACTGGCCTTCCATTTCCAGAAGCCCTTCATCTGGCCAGACAGAAGGATTCCCCAGCCTGATGTGGGGCCATCCGGAGTTCCCTCGCCCCAGGGCTCTGGGGCACCATGCCAAGAGTCCAGACGCTGGAGCTGGCACAGGCCCCAGTCCTGGGGAGAACAGATGGCGTCTGCTAGTGCACTTGGCTCAGCCAGAATTTCTGGCAGAGGGAGAGGGTGAGGGGGCAGAGTGTTTTACCCAGGAGGGATACCCCGTCACTATCTCCTTAACCTTGCTCCAGTTGTCTTCTGTGACAATGAAACACAGATCTCTTGTTTGTCTCTCTTTTGAATCCTCCCAGCAGCATCAGCTCTGCGAAGCCTGGGATTGGAGTGCTTTTGTTCACCGCTGTGCCTCGGGGCCTAAAGCAGTGCTTAGTACATATTTGTGGCAGGAATTCCTAGCAGCCTCAGTTTTTCACCAAATTGCTGAGCTCTGTGGGTCCCCATCCTCCTCGGCATGAGTTCTCATCTTGCTAGAGCCCTCTGGCCATCATCAGCCTTGAACAGTCTTCCCAGCCCATCCCTTTTAGGGGCTGGGGGAGGCCCCAGCTTACAGTCTGTGATGGGTTTGACATGTTGAACGTGAGCTCCCAGCAAGGATCCCCAATGGAGGCCTTACTCCATCCAGTGAACGTCGGAAGAGCAATAGGATGTTATTTAGTCTCAAAGAGTCCTCCTCCCACACTTATGAGTCACAGGGAAAACTACAGTGTTATGGAGAAAACTAGCAGACATGCCCCAAACCAGATGGGTTAAATGGTTTGAATCGGGAATGTCTCCCAAAGGCTCACATGAGGAAGGAAGCCTTGATCCCCAATGCAGCCATGTTCAGAGGTGAGGTTTTGGGGAAATGATCGGATCACGGGGCTCTGAACCCCTCAGTGGATTACCAATTTGAGGGCATTTGGGGAGGTGGTGGAAACTCGTAGGAGGTGGGACCTAATTGAAGGAGTGGTCTTTGCCTTCTGGCTTCCATGGGATAAAGCTTTCTTCCAGTTGTCTTCTGTCCTTCTGCCATGATGCTGTATCTCACCT